GTATACAAGCAGTAATACCGAAAAAAATGTAAAATAAGAGTAAAATATTATTCAGGAAAAATTCATTTGTACCGAAACATGTAGCGAATGAGAACTGGAAAAATAGTTTCTCGGTAAAAATTTTATGACTTGTAAAAAGTATGTCATTTGAAATATNAGTTATAGAACCTTAATGTAGAATGCTGACTCATTTATTCGACATGTTTCAATAATATATCGTGTTTTTAAAATGATAACATCAAAATACAGGTAAATTATTAATATTTGCAATCTGGCAACACTGTTCGCAAATCTCATTCTAAACCCTGTTCGATTGTGCTTCGTCATAAACTGTGGATGAAAAGTTGTGGGTAACTTCACACTAATGAAGGTGCTGGGCTCCATCCAAAAAAGAGCCATCCGCCTGATTGGAGACGCGAACATGACTTTCAATCTTGATAGAATCTTCTAAGATACCTTCAGAGAAAGTATTCAAGTGACTTGGCACATTGGATTCCACCAAGAGCGGTACATAACAGAAATACGCGACGGACTGTGGCTGCTCATCGTTTCGAATTTCAACTCAGTACTCCTCGAACTGCACTGTTTTAGAATCCTTTCATTTAGAGAACTGCATTTATGTTAAATAAACTTTCTGAGAACGTTTTTCCAAATGGATCTAGTTTCCGGCAATTTAAATTCAATATGAATCGCCACTTCTCCACAGGCACTGTTCTTAGAGAGCCTTGAAGATTCTCCTGTAGTGCTTGTGTTTCGTACTTGAAAAAATTCCTAGCTTTTTTCATTCAGTAGATTTCAGTTTTTCAGGATTAAATAACATTTTAAACATGCCGTCAGATGCTAAAGCTATAAGATAGCATCTTTGATACGTGAATAGTTGAGTCCAGAAATATATCCAACGAGAATTGAATACCCATCTATGCCCATGCTCATTGTCAGCTTCAAAATCCAGTTCCAATTGACAATTTGTATCATGGACTGAGACTGAGATTATACTTCAAAATATTCATTCATTGCTGTTCCTTATACAAAAGAAGGACCTATAAATATTTTTTGAGATGTTGACCGAGAAAAACCGAAGTGATTCCCAAGGAATCACTCGTGTTTTTCTTAAGCAGTTGAAAACTTTCTCCTCTTCTTTTGAATTCTAGTTACATATAATCAGGTGACAAAAAACATCAGCAAAATTCCAGATGCCACATAATTTTGTCCAATCAATCTCTTACTTGCGAGTGGAAACACTAGGTCTGTAGTGTTATGCCAAATGAAAAACTTAAAAAAAAAGAACACAAGATAACTACACAAACATCCTTTGATGAGTGGAGTATATTTTATTTCATATAAATCCTTTTGAAACAATCACTTTCATATGAACATTGAGTTATACGAATATCATTTTTTCCCATTAAATTTGTACTATAAACATTCATTATGGAACTGAACATAACAGAAACTTTACACAATATGAAATATGAATGATTATTGACACGCATTATCATCATCATCATCATCGTCATCGTCATCGTCATCGTCATCGTCATCGTCATCGTCATCGTCATCGTCAGCGTCATCGTCATCGTCATCGTCATCATTGTCATTATCATTATCTCTGCTGGTGACAAGTTGTGACGTAACCGGCGCTGATGAGGCAAATGGCTCCACACAGGTATTGGAGTTCAAGTACATTCAAATAATTAATCAAATATGCAACATCATGAACTGTATTCAAATATGAGTAAATTTTAACATCATTTTTCTTTATAACTAAACTTACCGAAGCATGAGGCAGTATGTCCGTGTTTAACTTTAACTCCAGCAGTATGAGCCAGAATTCCTTCATTTTTAGGCTTGTTGGGTACATGATCAGACATATAGAGTACCAATCAATTACTGGGATTTGGGAAGTTTCAAGAGTGTTTTATCGAGTGTTATCAAGAAGAGTCTGAAATCGCTAGGCAATTTTAGTAGAGTTTAGAGGAAAAGCTACGAGTGAATGAAGCAGAGTTGTGTTTGGGAATTACCACGACCTAGGCATTTCGAGTAAAATTTCTGTTAGTCTAGGAAAAGCTAACAAGTCTGTTATGTCAATATTCAGATTTTTTTGTTAACAGTAATTTATGTATGTTTGTGAAAAGATGTAAGGTGCGTAATTTTTCAAGTCCTTAAGATCCTTAGTCATCAAAACTACTATTAATGCGATCAAAGGTACGTTGTCAAAGGAAAATCTTAAACATGAGTTGTGTATTCTTTGAAGGCGAAGTGTATTGAGTAACTGCAGGTCCATATATGCAGTCGCAATACGATAATTCAGAAAAAAATAAAGTTTCGCAAAGTTTCAGTCGAGTAGAAAAAAGTCTCTATTTGGAAAAATTTGTCTGAGAATATTATAAGATCATTTATAAAGATGATGGCATGTTAAGAAAATCTCAAATCAGAGTCGATTCCCAAACCCACGATTTTACTTAAGAAAGTTAGGTATCTTTCAGATTTGTATCCAATAAGATACATGGTGCTTTTTTTGCGTTTAATTTTATGTTATGTGCGCATGATGTGTTATATAACGAGGCGAGATTTACGAGTTCTTGAGCTTTCATATTTCCTTTCGGAAAACATAGATGAATTTGCATGTTATCAGTGTAGCGATGAATAGTGCAATATTTTATACATTCGTAGAAATCTGAAATAAAGATATTAAATTGAAGCTTCTTTTTAGATCTACGACACATTTATCCAAACCAAAGTGATTAAGTTTATTGCATAAAATACTGCGGTCTAAGATTTCGAAAGCTTTGCTGAAATCCAATGATACTAAACATTTAATATCATTTTCATCGGCTGCTTTGAAATCATCATCAGTTATAGGAAGGAGAGCAGAAGTAGAGCCATGTTGAGAACGAAACCCAGGCTAAACGATGGTTATGATATTATTAGAACTTATAAGCTCAGTAAACTGATCTTTGAAAATGAATTTGAAACTTGAGATGGACAATTAGATAGTGATGAGCCTGAGATCAAAATAATGTGTTGGAGAGTTACACTTGGCCAAATGAATCACAAGTGCATGTTTTCAGAGGAAACGAATACTCGAATGATGTAATACATAAAGTTAGTATAGAAATGGGGCGGGTTTGCAGTCCTTGTTCATCTTTCACTGCTTGAACCAATGTGCTTGCTGTTTTTGGCGCGTCCATTGGCTTGGGGTGTGGGGGTTGAGCAAACTGGCCTTCGGATACCTGCTTCCACGTAGCCCCGCTAGAAACAGGAATGACAAAATCACTTACGGTTCTGTTATTCCCTAACTTTATGGCTTCCCAACGATGGCTTAATCCTAAGGTGTGTGTATCCGTACGGAGAAGATGAAAGACACTGAGCCCATCAGCTATCTCTACCTAACGTTCGAGATACCGGGCGCCCTCGCCTTGCAGCATCGCCTTGTCACGGTAATGCGGGACACTGCCGTGATTGACCTTGATTGACCTAGCTACTCGTGGGACTCCAACTGACCTCCCTGTAAATTTAGTTCAGGAGCGAAGCTTCTCAACTCTCCAACTCCTGATCCAATAACTGAACCTAAAAAAAGGTTTGGTGGTGCAACCAGGAAGCGACTGATTCGTCTCCTCAAGAGCGGGGTACCTTATGAATCCACCTTGCACCAAATTCTTGAGCGGTGTACACAAAATCTGTCTCAGGTGGAGGAACAAACCCCCTATGAGTAGGTTAGCAAACGTTCGCGCTCAAGTGATGATTCACCAAAACCAGAGGCGAAAAAGCCCTGCACGGGTAAATCTAAGGCATCGTCAGGTGTAGCTGACGTGCAAAAACTCTTATATGGGAAGGTTATGGTGGGTATCAAGTTGGGAATCTTGCACGTTGACTATCCGACTACCTCATTAACGATGAAACAGCAGAGCATATACTTTGTGCCAATCCCGCTGGGGACTTAATCAGGTTTATAGAGTTCGGCAGAGCCGTACTCTTACCATCTGATCTGAAAGATCACTCACCATATAAACTAATCGGCTTCGTTAAGAAGCTGGGTTTATTTGGTCGAGTATGAATAGGTGTGAGCCACAATAAACCCTTGCGGGTTGTGGTGAAGAGACGAATAGACCCACTCACTTTGGACCTAACCTAACCTAACTCAGTATAGAAGTGATGTATTTCAAGAGATGTACTTTCACCAAACGAGTCAAACGAAGTGAGATACCACCCCAACCTACAGCGGTACTTCTGAATTCATTCATAAACTACAGTTTTTTCATCAACGAAAGAGAACCTGTTAAAGAAGCGATAATATAATTGACATTCTGTTTTGTCGAGGAGGTACATATTGCAAAAACATTAATTGATTTCATTTGAATTTCTTAAGTTTGGTGGTAGTTCAGGGTTAAATTTTTGACAAATACTAGACTGGTATCTCACTGACTTAATCCTAGCTTTCATCTTGTGGTCAATCTTACGAACCGTAAGGCCGGAATTCCGTTCTGTTGTTTTTGACATCAACTGAACGGCATTGTACACGGCGCGGCGGTTTGTATTTGCATATGTCAGCCTCTCTTGTAAAAATATCACGAGGCTCCCTACCTAAACGTGCCAGTTGTTGTAGCTGAGTCGATGGAGCGCTCAGCGTGTTCAGATTGTCATCACCGGCGCTATGTTTTGAGTACCTTCTCCAGCCGCGCCCGCCCAAGGGTGGTGCAAAATTACGTCATTTTCTGTAAAAAACTGATTTCCGAGATTTAAATTCAGTAATGAATCAGAACGACAATTATGCAATATTCAGAATAAAAATATTATATCGTTATATATTCATTGAACCAACATAACATTTTCTGTTTTGTAATATTGTTAAATAACTCACTCGGATGTTCCACATCGTCCATGATGTTACAAATCAAAATGTAACATAAAATTGTAATAAATTGTTTCATGAAATTCTTAAAGAAATGTTTAGTAGGATTACTAATCTCTATCATATTTTACAAAAAAAAATGGCAAGACAAGTTTTTATACTGTTCATTTATTTCACCATTGTTTCAATAATTGATTGAACTGAAAGGTTTAGCCTACAGTAGCATTTGTTGGTGTAGGTGCTGCAGTTGACGTTGGATGGGGACCTGGAAAGAAATTGATATTTTAATTCAGATACACTTTGGTGAACTCTAGATCATTCAACATTATCATGAATAATTCATCAGTTCAGTTCAAATTTGCATATATGTGGAAGAACAACTCAGTAGCACTTGTGCTAACTGAGTTGAACTTCGCCTTTTGTTATATTAACAACTAGCTCTGTAATTTACCTAAATATGTGTATGTAACTACAGCTGGGAAATAATAAAGACGATCATTATTATTATTATCTTATGACAAAAAGTTGTAACAATAACGGTGCTGATGAGGCAAATGGGTTGAATCTGCTGATGAAATTCATGTAAATAATTCGAACAATTCATCAAACGTTCATGAACATGCATGAACTGCATGTAACAATAACGGTGCTGATGAGGCAAATGGGTTAAATCTGCTGATGAAATTCAAGTAAATAATTCGAACAATTCATCAAACGTTCATGAACATGCATGAACTGTATTCCAAAATGAGTATGTTTCAACATCATTTTTCTTTATTACTCAACTTACCGAAGCATGAGGCAATATGTTCGTGTCTACCTTTCACTCCAGCAGTATGAGTCAGAATTCCTTCATTTTGAGGCTTGTTGGGTACATGATTTACTTGTGGAAGGGCCTCACATAGGACCTGAAATTACATTAAAAAAGATTTTTTTTAAACAATCAAGAAACAAGCATCACATCATTGAAGTGATAGTAAATTAGTTGGGTAACTGTTGAAAATTTTACAAATATACTCTTCGTACAAACCTAATTTTCTAATTTTCATTATCAGACATTAATAGTTTCATCAAATTTATTCTCACAAATATTCCAGAACTGCAAGATGTTGGGAAATGTATGTTTCTTAATCACGATATATGCCTCAAAACAACTCTCACCAGAAATGAAATCGCAATGAATATTTGACGATGAATTATAAATCACATTGTGAAAACAGTAAATGATCTAGACACCCAACTTGAAGATTACAAAATGATTTTGAAAACTCATATAAAAAATCCTTATTGGGATCTACTATCAGAAACGTGTACTGGTTCCACTATTGCTATCTCGGAAACTTACAAGATCTGTTGAATCGAATAGAAGTTTCCTATTTTGGGAAAATAGAATAATCTCTTTTCAGATCGAGAATATCAGTGGTTGTTTTTCAGATATCTGCCAAAAACTAGAAGATGTGAATTTAGTTTTTGGCTCTACTGGCTATATTTCGAAAGATATAAAAAAGGCAGAAGAATTCCCAATACTGTTTCATATTCGTTATAATCCAATATGAACCAATTCACAATACAACGTTTCGCTCATCAAATTTCGTCATCATCTTTATTTTTTAAATACGGATCTCTAGTTTTTTTCCATCGATTTTTGTAGCCACTGTAATAACAAATTCAGCTATGTATTTCAATACAATAAAACTGTAGTCAATCGGTGTACCTATTGAGTGAAGGACAAAAAGTCTACTGTCTTTCGGTTCTAGGTAAATAGCCACACCAGTAAAAGTTCCTGCAGAACAACGATTCCGACGCATTTATAAATAATGGGACATAATGATCTCCAACTTTCTTGATACCAACGGCGAATGCATCATTCTTCTTCTCTCTGTATATCATCAACAAATAAATCCTATGGAATTGGGCATTTTTCATTCCAGATTTTTTTTACTCAATTGTTCAATAGCTTTGCAGTACTTCTCACAAGTCTCATTCATATTAGAAATTGTTGAATGTCTGGAAGAGAAGTATACAATTCAGTAACCAGGATATGTCTTCACTACTGTTGTTTCTTCTAGAAACATCTCTGGAATTAGCGAAAACTCATCATCTTTCATATAAAAAAAATCTGCTTCAGTATGTCATTCATTGAAATGTAATGTATTTGTTTGGGTCTACAGGAGAAAGATGCTGGGATTAGCATCAATCCGGTGGGTGTTATTATACAACATAACTTCAGAAATCCCTAAGACAAATCCCACAAAAGGAATGAATAAACTGCCGTTGAGTAACTTCCGTACCAGCAATTGACTGCGGTTAAACTGATGATGGATGGGAATGGAGTAACTGAGGAAAATATCATTAGATCAGCGCATCTTCCTTACGATGGTCAGGAACCGCAACTAATAAGGAATGTGAACGAGTTAGTGAGAGCCTGCCAAGCAGACATTGTAAGAAAAAAATATAAAAGGTTTTTTGTAGAATAAGTAAATTTCGAGACGAACTTTCAGATGCTATTGATTGTGTAATGTGATAAATTGAAGGGTTTCGATTCAATTTCAGACTTATTTTTTCCTCTCTAGAGAATCCCAACAAAAGCTTATTTTCAATAATGTTTTCTACTATCGATAAATGTTTATATTATTTTTGGTATAACTACCTTTCCTAGATATATACAGTATATATAGTCGAATGGATATATGTGTATGTTATGTTTGACAAGTACCCTTCGAAGACAGTTCACAAATATTAATAACCAAATTTTTGGTTAAAAAAATATGTTCCAGTCTTGATTTGACAATTAATGAAAAAAATAAATCAAATAATATTCAATAGCAAAAAATTCACACTTTGTGAAACATCATAATGACAAACTGTTATATTATTTTTTAAAACTTTTGATGGATAACTGCACTTTATCTTTTTCTACGGTTCTCATTATCAAAGCCAAATTTAATACTTGATGTGATGCACAGTGTTTAAAGAAACATTCATATTAGTTATGATCAAATTTCAACTGACAAGTAATGATAATGAAATTGACTTCAATTTGGACATTATAATGAATATTCTCGTAATGAGTAATATTTGATAATTCATGAAATAGCATAAATTTCTTACCAATCCAGCAATGAGGAAAGCGAAAAAGAGACTTGCAGATCGACACATTTTCAAAATTGTATCTACGAGTTTTGAACTTGTTTGGCTTGTTTATATACTCGAACATATTTTAAAAATAGAAAATTATTATGTCACTCAAAAAAGATATCTAATTGTTATTTTTCGTTTGAATGATATGAAATTCATAAATACTTCCGTGTTATTGTTAAATACTTCAGTTGAATTCTGATAATAAACTATAATTTTAATTATGAAAACGTTAAGCTTAGAAATAATTACGCAACCTTCCAAAACTATTTCATTCAGGCATCTCTTGTTTGCGAGGAGCATTTGTTAATATCAATATCAAAGAAATCTAGTTCGACATTTTCATTTAATTACAGGACAACTACTAAGTCACTGAGTGACTTAGTAGATGTCATAAACTTCAAAAACTTTTAATCACCCCTAATTCAGATATTTAAATGACTGAAAAATCGTGAACCATTTGAATTCTGAGTTTTACATTATCATTTTTTCATACTTTTCGATTCCATAAATTCCATTCATATGTCATCAGAATCAACAGTTCAAAAATAACTTTTCAAAACGCTCAAAGGTACGAACTCGTTTTCTCCTTTTCATAAAGGATGATGTATGCATCTCCATTCACAAGCGATTTTGGTGAAATTGGTGACACGTGTGAAACATTGTATTCGTGCCACGTGCCGGTTTAGGGATGTCTGCGCAATGTTGTATAATGTCCGCTGTAAGTAGACCCACTGTTATTTGAAAGCGCACATAAATTATAACGACAAGGAGTTACATTGTCTGCTGCATAATTGTTCATAGAATAGAATAGAATAGTTTATTAACTACGTTACATTTTCATATTTGTAGCAAGTCAAGTGTATAGGTTTTCTCAAATAAACATATAAAACAAAGAAGTAAATTGTAAAAATGCAAAAATATTAAGCAACGCTGGGGTTGCCTACGTACATATATAAACAAATAAAAATTCACCCATGATAATAAGGGTATTTACAAACTACCACAGTACAATCGATACTCGTGAGTATGTTTCATCTCGAGTAGACATGGCTGACGTGAACTGTCCTAAAATGATTTAGTATTCCGTAACTGAGTAAAAACATTAGTTGAGTAGCATTTCCTTGATGGCTCTTTTGAATTTCGTGATACTTAGCCCTTTAAAGTTATTTGGCAGAGAGTTGAAAAGATTGTAATCAACAGAATTCATTTTTGATTTGGTCAAACGATAACGGCATGTTCTTACCTTGCCCGCATTTCTCGTGAAGCGTTGGTGTATGTCAGACTGTTTCTCTAGCAACTGAGCATCTTTTCTGATTCCCAGTAGCGTCTGATAAATAAATAATGTTGGCAATGGCATGATACGTAATTTTTTGAATAATGGTCTACAGTGCCCCCGGAAACCTGCACTTGCCAGTATTCTTACAGTTTTTTTCTGTAGCTTGAAAATTCTCATCGAACCAGGAGAGTTCCCCCACAAAACAACACCGTAGCTGATGTGTGAGTGGAATAATGCAAAGTACGTCATTTTTAGAATCTCACCGCTTGTGATGTTTTGCAGTTGACGAAGGATAAATATTGCACTAGATAGTTTATTTGCGAGAAGACCTATGTGTTGATGCCAAGATGAAGTACTGTCGAGAGTAACGCCAAGTAATTTTACACTTTTGTTAGCTGAACCTACAGTGATGAACTCAAGATTTTGAGTTTTGTCACTATTCAACTTCGATTTATTTACTAGAAACCAAGTGTTAGCTAGATTTTCAACTTCTTCCATTACTTGTGGGATGTTAGATGATGATTGATCGCTATATATTGAAGTTGTGTCATCTGCATATAGAATGGACTTATAGGGAGACATGAAATTACATATGTCATTAACAGGTTCAAAATTTGATGTAACACCATTACACGATATATCTAATCCATCTAGAGGAAATTGGATGGCAATATTCAATTTGTCTCTAAATTTTTTCGTTAGAGATAATCTTTTGAAATGAATGACTAAAATACGGGGAAACTTGTGGATTGATAAAGACTTTGTGCATTTTCTTCTTTCCTTGCAACTCGAACACGTCGGTTTTTGATGTCCATCCAATGTTTTCTCTCTAGTGAAGAAATCCAAGCATTGTGATAAACTCAATTGGCCAGTTTTTTGTGGTACAGGGAGTGACAAATCCCAGAAAGAATCGAAGGTTGAAGATGAGTGTCCACAGTGTGTACACTTCATCATGGATTTTGATTGACCAACGAAATTATCTATAATCTTCGTTAATCTACATTAAAATTGGTTTAGGTTTCTCATTTATTCTATTAACGTCATCATGTAAACCTAAAAGATAACGAAGGAACTCCTGGGCGTCTTGATGCGCATGACCCATGAATCGTGGGGCAAAACTCTGAATATGACTTTTTAAAGAGACTGTGTTCACTGCTCTATGAGATTAATCTTCTGACCACAATTCCTTGATAACTTCTGCGAAAGCTTTGATCAAAGCATCCTTCATTCTAGAAATATTAGTATTGATATCTTTCATGTACTCATCCTTTTTCAAATATTCCAGTAACCATCTCATATTTGATAAACATTGGATTACACTGTTCATGAAACAGGTGTTGCCAATATTTTTCAACCCATTGAGCGCAAGGGTTTTGACTGAGGAATGTATCACTGATCTAATTGTATTGTAGCTGTTGATGATACGTTCGCCACTGCTGTTTTCTTTCGAGTAATCACGGATGCGATGATTCTCCCCATCATTTGACCAACGGAATGAAAAATTTGAAGTTAAATTGCTTGAAAGTGAATTAAATAGATTCATGGTAGTTTTTTCGAATTTGTGAGAGAATGATAATTCCAGAACTTGTTTAATTTCCTCTGCATCTTCTGAGAAAATCGGGAAATGGTCAATCTGCTTACTCGATTTTGCGTTGTTTCATCTAATTTTTGAGTAAATGGAAGAGTACCCAATATCCATGTGGCATTACCCCTGTTCTCCTAGGGTACTAGGGCATGTCTAACGTGATCATTCATTTTTTTCCCACGGCGGGACATCTGCGAAATTATATATAATTTTTTTTTGGTGTTTCACNCGAAAGATATAATTATTTCCCAAATTCTGATATTTCCGTAGTTTGGAACTTTCTCCTAAAGAAGCAGCAGCACCGGCTTTCGCAGAAGTAGCAGGAAGATGGCAAGTTGCTAATGTATCTACACAAGTAAAGTCCCAAACAATAGATTTACCATTTATATAATTAATTTATATTTATGTTCGTAATTAAACTAGCTTTCATTAGTGCGAAACTTAACTGTGTTTTATCACTTGCCCATATTTTGTTCATCTGAGAAAAAAATCATTTCGACAGGTGAGTTACTTTCAGAAAGACACATACCGTTCTTATTCAAAAACACTTTTTTGTGATATTTTCACTAAACAGTTTTACAAAAACGCAACACGTTTTTCGCCATAAAATTGTTCAGTAAAAATCTCATAATGAAGTGTTTTTTGAATATTTATGGATTTTCTCAGTCAATTCCATCATATATAACGTACTCAATGATTGTAGAAGAGTTTGTTGAATGAAGTTTATTGGTACGAAAGTGCTGATATGAGTATTATTGTAGAGAATGACTAATCAATGAAAATTTACTTAAATCATCATTTTAAAAAAAGTATAAGTATGGAATTGAACTGATTAACTGGAATAAACACGAAATATGACTGAAACAGAAATATCTATGTTTAACATTCTCCTCTTCATTTTCAGAAGGTCCCCAGAGGTCAATTTGATTGCAATTCAAGAAGAGACTTTAGATTGAATGTATTTTTTTTCATAGTAAGTTTTTAGTCTTGTGAAATTTTTTTTGGCTATTTTGGCAGTAGGCTAACCAACTGGTTAGGTTAGGTTAGGATAATCATCCTGAGAACCCAGAGATGTGAAATTTAGCTCAATATCAACAAGGTCTGGTCCTGATGAAGTGCCCGTTATCGTACTCAAAAAGTGTGCAAAAATGAACTCGCACCACTATTTTGCTGACTTTTCAACATGTCTTACAAGAAAGGGGGTTTTCCTTCTTGTTGGCGATTGCTCGTGTTTAGTCTATTTCCAAAAATGGCAAGAAAACTCAAATAACTATAGACCAGTCGCTATGCTATCAGTGTTATCAAAAATCATGGAGAAAGCCGTAAACCATAATACCCTCAAATATTTGGGAGGCTTCAACATCTTGAGCAAATATTAATATGGCTTTCAGACAAAAAGATCAACAGGCGACCTTCTGTCGTATGTCACCCATATTTGGAATAACGCAATCGAGAAACATAGAGAGTCAAGAGCTGTTGCGCTTGATATTTCTTTGATCGTGTGTAGCATGAGGGTTTGCTGGCCAAACTTCGATGCTATGGCTTGTCGAATCATTTTTGTATATGGCTCCTCAGCTTCCTAAAATAACGTTTCCTGCAAGTGGCCATCGATGGCAATCTCTCGAATACTTCCACCATCAACACTGGTGTTCCCCAGATACTCATATTATCTCCTTTTTTTTTATTTGTATATCAACGACTTATTGGAAAAACCAAGAATCCAATATATAGCTTTGCTGACAACAGCATGCTTGTATCGTCATTAGATTCGGCTGCCAATGAACATCTTCACCGGAAGCAAGATGTTGAGGATCTAGAAGAAATTTTGAGTTGGAGTGAAACTAACCAGGTTCAATTCAATGCCACAAAAACCCAGGCATCGGTTTTCTCAAAGAAGGTCTCCGACTCAGATATAATAATGTCAGGTCAGACAATTCCGCTTTCTGCTTCGATAAGTTTGTTGGGAGTTAAAATGGACACCAATATGTCTTGGAACAATCATATCGCTGGAATTGCAAAGACTGATTCTCATAAGCTTGGAACACTGTTTCAAAAACTGTTCCGAACACACCTTTATGAAACTCAGATCAGACCTTCTTTGGAGTATTGTTCTCATGCATGGAGTTCCGCCCCTCCAAACATCCCCTGAAGCTGCTTGATTCCATTCAGAAAAAATCA